TCTAAGACATTTTCAGCACTTAAGTCTAAAAATCCACTCTAAGAGGTTTTATAAATATGGGCCCAGGATGAGTTTTTGTAGCGACTCTGAAGAATAAAAACTGTATCAATACAGAAGGTCTCAGGAGAGTCAGCTGATGAAACGGGTCAATCCTCAGTCCAGATCCTTCACACATCAGAGTCACCAGAAGAGACTTTGACGTGTCGGTCGTTTGCTCGGGTCTCCCTGGACCTGCTCACCTCTGAGCAGGGACAACAGGGGACACTGTGAAGGACTCAGCTGAGACCTGGTCCTGTTCTGGGTCCAAAACCAGCTGAGGTGGACAATGAGACGTGTTTAAGACTAAACTGTGAGAAAAGAAGTTGCATTTAGTTGAATCATTGGGCCTCATGCAAGAACCGTTGGTACGCACAGATTTGTTCTTAAGTTGTGCGTACGAGTGATTTAGGAGAATTTGTGACATTCACCAATGTTTTCGTATTCTAAGATATTTTTCGATTTTGTGTACGGTGTGCAGCGCTGTGTCTTCTGAATAAATGAAAATGATTTAACACAGTTATTTATACTTTCAGCAGCTCTTTTTATCCCACAGCTGACCTGCTAAAAATGACAGATTTTCTTTTCTAGATCTCTGACAGACGGACTTCAATCTCTGAACTCGTAAAGTTCTTCTTTTTAGTTTTCACTGTCATTTTCATGAATGGACACTTCCTGATATCTGAGGCAGGAAACATAGGCTGTGTCCAAAACGGCAGGACGGGTCCTCCGAAGGTCGAATTTGTCGGCGAAACGACAGTCTGGGTCCTTGGTAGACCGGGAAGACCAGAAAAAAAGAGTCTGAATTTGGACGGTCTAGCCTCCCCTCCACCCCGGCTTACGTCATGTCAACTAGCAGCTGTGACGACGCTAAACAGAAGCAAAAATAGATCAAAATTAGAAAAATATCAATATATTAGCATTATTAATATCACAAAACTATAAAATTAACTTAAATGTATCATTTGAAGAACTAATTGACCCGCTGTAGGTGCATGTTTATTTCACGTTTTTTATGAGAAAAATAAAATTTAAAACACGTCTATATAAATGATAAAAGTATTAGAATTACAACCGCTAAAATTGTTTAATTTTTTTATATTGCCATATTTTTATTTAAAACGTATTCTTTTCACTCACTTCGTCCACCATTACTAGCTTAAACAAATCTCAGGTTGGGCCACAATGCATTATGGGATATGCTGGGCCGAGAAGGATCATCAGACCTGTCCTTCGATTCGGGCCAAAGGAAGGACGTATTTGTCGGCCGCATCGGAGGGGTCTTCGGTTTGCGACGGCCTCCGTCGCAGTGCTTTGACGTTTGCAGCTGATGAATTCAGCCTTCGGAGGACCTGACCTGTCGTTTTGGACACAGTAACAGCCTTATATGGTGTTTTTGGGGTGGTAATTATGCTAATCTCCTCTCTCGTGCACGAGCAGCTGGATAGAACAGGTGAATTTACGCAGCTCATTTACACACTTTTCCTGAAGATAGAAGAGTTTGTTGAATCTGACGTGACATGTTCGTACGAACCCTTTGTACGAACAAAAGNAGATAGAAGAGTTTGTTGAATCTGACGTGACATGTTCGTACGAACCCTTTGTACGAACAAAAGTAAGAGAAATTTAGGAGAAGAATACCAACATGTTCTTGCATGAGTCCCGTTGTTTCTGACTCAACAACTTCTATGTTCAGTTTTTCATTGAGTTTACATGATATTAAACCTGTTTATCGGGAACACTCTGGTAGCAGCAGGTAATTGCGGTCACGCGTGGTTCTTAATTAGAGGAAATCGGTACTGGAAAGTCCTTGAAAGGTCCTTGAATTTGATGTTGACCAAGGAGTGGGAACCCTGGATTAATTAGATGATTAATCCCCTGGAGTCCCTGGACACCCTTATGTCTGAGTCACATGATCAGTTTAAAATTTTAAATTGTGTTGATAAATAAATTCCAGAACATTTTTTTATGTTCCTCATACGTGAAACAGAAACTGACTGGAGATCTAACCAGTCTGCCTGCTGGCATTAATTATATTAATCATCAAGTGCCAAAAAATAATGGATTAATGTTTTTCTGACAATTAATTGTACATGATACGATTATGTCCAACCCTACTGTTGACACATATGAACATTAAGGGGAGGTTTTTCCACACCCACAGCATAACAATGCTTAAAAACACATTTAAATGTAAAAAAAAAACTTAAAAGTTAAGATTATTAAAAGCATTTTTAATCTCTTGAGATACAAACAGTAAGGTTTAATGTCTAAAATGTTTTTTGGTTTTCTCTGCAGGACACTTCTGCACACAGCAAGAGTCCAAAATGGGGGTGAAGACCTTCACCCACAGTTCGACCTCCCACAGCCAAGAGATGCTGGAGAAGCTCAACGCTCTGCGCAGCGAGGGTCATTTATGTGACGTTACCATCCGGGTTCAAGACAAGCTCTTCCTGGCACACAAAGTGGTGTTGGCCTGCTGCAGCGAGTTCTTCCGTTCCAAACTCATAGGTCGACCCGAAGAGGAGGATAAGTTTGTGTTGGACCTGCACCATGTGACCGTTAGTGGTTTTGCCCCTCTCTTGGAATATGCTTACACTTCTACTCTGTCCATCAGCACAGAAAACATCATTGATGTCCTGGCAGCTGCGAGCTACATGCAGATGTTTACAGTGGCTAGCACATGCTCAGAGTTCATGAAATCCAGTATTCTGTGGAGCCCTACAAGCATCAGCACCAGCAGTGCAATAGCAGAGAAAGGCCATGACGCAGCACCAGAGAGTGCTTCATCAAACTGTGCCCTGACACCACTGGATGGCAGCGTGTCACCTGTGTCGTCTGACTGCAGCGTGATGGAGAGAAATGTTCCCGTTTGCCGTGAATCACGGCGGAAACGTAAAAGCTTTGTAACAATGGCGTCACCGGAGAGTCCCCTTAAATGCACTACACAAATGGTCACCACCTCCCCGCAGATTCCCAACCCATCCCCATCATTCTCCGATGGCCCGACCCAGCCTGTGGAGTCCTCCTTGGCTTTTCCCTGGACGTTCCCCTTCGGCATCGACCGCAGGTTTCACTCAGACAAATCAAAGCTGCCCGAGAGCCCCCGCTGCTTGGAGCAGGGGGCTTCAGGGACCTCAGACGGAGCAGTTGCTCGTCGGCTCAGTGACTTCCTAACTTGTGAGAGCTCGAAGGCAGTGTCCTCACCGGTGGCAGCTGAAGAGGAAGACGTGAGAGTGAAGGTGGAGCGTCTTAGTGACGAGGAGGTCCAAGAAGCATCGTCACAGCCGGTTAGCGCCTCTCAGAGCTCACTGAGTGACCAGCAAACAGTTCCAGGGAGCGAGCAGGTCCAGGAGGAGCTTCTTATCAGTCCACAGTCTTCATCTATAGGTGGGGCTTTTGTCCTGACTTGTCTTGTCAACAACATTTACAGAAATTGGATGTTTTACCCAGCGTCCACAGATAGGACTGTCCGACTGTAGGGCTGCCACATACGATTATTTTTATAGTCGACTAATCAGATCATACGTTAACTGAATGTAAAACATAGAGCTCATCACACCAGAATGCAGCTGCTATTATATAACCATGGTTAGATTTTAGCTACATGCTAACTAAAAAT